TAACGGCAAAATCATCAGCAAACTGTAGGAATTTTGCATAACGCGGAAGATGCATCAAAACACTATTAACATAGAGATTGAAAAGGAGAGGACTGAGGACGCCGCCCTGAGGGACACCCTTATGCAACAGACGAAGAGTAGGAGAAGAGGAGTTAGAAAGAATTGAAACTCTTCTAAAGTAAGTAAGATTGGAAATAAAATGCAGAATATTGCCTGCAAGCCCTAGATCCGCCAATTTTCCAATGAGGGTATTAATATGAACACTATCAAAGGCAGCAGATATGTCCAGAAAGGCAACAACTGTGCACTCGTCAAGCATAAAACTTTTATTAGCTTCCAAAATAATACTTCCAATATTATCCTGACAAGATCTAGCCTTACGAAAGCCTGCTTGAGAGTCAGGCAGAATGTTACTAGTCTCACACCACCACTGTAGACGAAGCTTAACCATCCTCTCAAAAAGCTTGCAGATGCAAGAGGTCAAGCTAATTGGACGTAACCCTTTACTCCCTTGCTTAGGAATAAAATGAACGTGAGAGGATAACCATTCTGCCGGAATAAGATTGTTTGAGTAAAGATCATTCAGAATGTCCAAAAGAATGAGCCTGATCTTGACAGGAAGCTTACGAATCATGATGTTGTCTATGCAATCGGGCCCAGGAGAAGACCCCTCTCGTAGGCAGTCGATAGAATAGTTAAGCTCCAACAGGGTGAAGGGAGCATTTAAGAAAGTCCCAGAATTATCAGGAGGAATTTTCATAGGGAGCTCTGGAGCCCAAGGAGGAGCAATTTTGGAAACAGCAATATCAATTTCTTTAGGATCAAAAGATCGACCATCACTTACAGTGTTTTGACAATATCTGGATTTAAACGTTCTAACAGTCTTCCACAACTGTGAAACGTTGGTACGACTGTTTAGCTCACTAGCAAAGCGACGAAAAGACAGTCGCTTCCGAACCTTGAGAGTTCTTTTAGTACATGCAGCCTGCTTCTTATAAGCAACCCAATCCTCCAATCTGAGAGTATGTTTCCACTTCTTAAGTGAAGCTTTTCGCAACCTCAACATCTTATCACACTCCTTATCCCACCAAGGGGCAGGAACAACGTGCCTTTTCCGAGGACCAAGGGACCGTGACGGAGAGCAAGCCTGTACAGCTTCTCTCATTTTAGTTGTAAAAATTGAATATTGCGAGAGTACTGGGAGTTGAGTGAATTCCAGTGAGAGGAAAAAAGACCAGTTATTCTCCATGATATCCTGATACTCAGACCAATCAGTTCTCTTAGAGGAGAGTTTGAAAGAACTTTTGAGCAAAGGAGCACAATGAGATATTTGTGCAACTATTGGAAAATGATCAGAACCATGAGTATCATCGAGCTGACTAGACGTTATAAAATGAGCGATGTCCATAGTGGATAAAATAAGATCTAAATTATTGCTGTGTTGACCCGAAGAACCAAGATGAGAACTAGTATGAGAATTATGAATAAAAATATTGCACTCATTTATGATTCTTAAAAGAGAAATGCCAGCCACATCCTCTACCTCTGAGTTCCATGCTGGGTGATTGGCATTAAAATCCCCAGCAATTATGGTGGAACCTGGAAGGCAGAGATTCTCAAGAAAAGACTTCCATAAATGATACTTTAAAGGAAAACCAGGAGGTCTATAAATTACTATTACGTTCAGAGGTTCAGCGGAAGTGAGGAGCTGAAAACCTAAAATTTCTGTATGATCATCAATGGAATTCTTAAAGGAAATGGTTTGAAATCTTAATGAACTTTTAATGAAACAAGCAATGCCTCCACCCCTGAAGCCCAACCTGTCAGCCCTAAGGATGGTGAAGCCATTTAAATGAATATGCTTGTCAGGTTGAAGCCATGTTTCAGTGAGAAGAATAATATCCTTTTGAACTGAAAGAATAGGAAGCTCAGAATATTTAGGGATAATTCCTCTACAATTCCAAACAAGTAAATTAACGGGATGAGCCATCACAACTTCTTTTTAGGATTGGCTTTATATTGTTTAAGAGAATTAACACTTTTAACAGAGGAGGAAGGTGAAAGAGAAGTCATAGAGGAAGTTCTCATTTGAGTAGAAATCTGTTGAGATAAGGAAACGTTTAGGGGACTGCAAGAGAGTGCTTTGCCAAAGGATGAACGAGGAGAAGTGGTGAGATCAGTTTTAGAATTGGAAACAATTGGAGAAGAGGTGGATGGAGCAGGAGAGACTTCACTTTTGAAGCAAGCGTTGTTCAGACTCGAAACCTTAATGTTTCTTTTAACCGGTGATAATGTAGATATACAATCACTTATACAATCATTGTTAATTGATGTAGTATTCTTATGCGTTACAGAAGTATTCAATGGCACACTTCCTTCAGAAGAAGTAGTACTACCACTAGAAGAGTTAGAATTACTCCAAGCTGAAAGAGGAGCAGGCCTTTGCTGACCTCCAAAGGACTTTAGAGACATAACGCTGCTCTGAGAGGCAGCTTGAAGAGGTGGAAAGTGTTCTATTGTTAGAGGGGGGGCCTTGGAAACTTGACTTGAGGATTGAAAACCTCTGGAGACAAAGTCCCGAGCCTCCCAGAAATTCACATTTGAAAAAGCCATTTGCTTGGAGATAAGTTGTTGAATTTGGAACTCTTTACAAGATTGATCAAAGGTTTTGTGATCCCCCTTGCAGTGAAGACACTTAACTTCATCCTTGTCGGGGCATTCTTCCTTACAGTGATCAGCAGAACCGCAAAACCTGCAGACTTGAGCACTCCTGCAATGTTTGCTGGAGTGACCATACCGGAAACAGTTAAAACACGTTCTCGGTGGCTCCACGTAAACTTCAACTGGCACAACCACCAGATTGTAGACTTTGATAGAATCCGGAAGCACCGTTCCCTCAAATGTAAGTAAGACAGTTTCTGAAGGGACCCACTCCACTTGTTTAGATTCACAATTAAGTTGCCTTCTATTCAACCTTCTAGCATTTATAATTTTACAGGGAGAATCAGACTTAGCTATTAGATCCTGTAAGTCATGATCTACACTAATCTGTCTGATAAGACCCCTCCTTTGAACCCTGAATCTTGGGATCATTGGGTTGAGCTTCTTGATCTCAGGAAGCCTACTGGAAGTAAAATTGTTGGCAAGTTCAGCAGTCTTAAATTTCACCTCGAACCTTCCGTAACCCTGAGGCTTAATTTCCTCAGCACCTACACCAGCTGCACTGACAATTCTTGCAACATTGAGTAAATGTTGAGAATTCCTGACCTTCTTTTCTTGCTTTTTGAGATTTAAAGAGACATAAGCAGGTCCCTTATGTCCAGACGGGTATAGCGTAATATTCAAATCAGCAACAGCAGAGCCATTATCCATCTGCCTATCGTCTTTCCTTTTCGGCGTAGATTCAACATCCATTGCAGTTTTCCTTTTTTGGGCAGCACTACCACCCCTGCCCTTTACTTTAGTGGCGTCGCTTGGGGACGCCATGACGGCGTCCTCAACACCTTGGGCCCTCGGGACCCAAGGTATAGCGGAGGAAAGTCCCTCGCTCACCTTTGAAACTCTTCTTAATAACGAAATTAAATGTTTAAGATTTTGTAAAAAAAGCAAGACCTCTCAAAATAAACGACACCAAATAATACTTAAAGAAACTAAAGACTCAAAAATTTTCCTCACGAAGTGTTCAATAGCACGTCAATCAAATCAATCAATAGCCCATTTCATGGACTAAAAAATTGGCGTCCATCTAGCGGTGAAAGTTGGAACTACAAAAATATAAAAATGCGATTTTCTCGAAAATAAGCGAACTTTGAGTACTTCTGAGGATCAGAAAGTGTTACGTGATCGCATTAGAAGCAAAATAATGCAATAAAAGTTTCCTGAAAGCTTTAATAAAGAAAATAAAAAAAATGACATTTTATGGAGAAAATTTGTGGCGCCATCTAGCGGCGAAATTGCGAACTAAACTGAAAAAACCGTATGCCCGTGCACGCGTTAAGGAAAAATATAAAAAGTAATATTTCGCAACTTTGACGACCTAGTATGCTTCTTTAGACACTTCAAAGCAATCTTTGTTCAATAAGTTATTCATTTTATTGCCTATTAAGCCCAGAAAATCAATTTTTATTTGACCTGCTAACGCGTGTCGGACATACGGTTCTTCGGTTTAGTTCGCAGTTTCGCCGCTAGATGGCGCCACAAATTTTCTCCAT